AGGGAATGTGCAGACTACGGGACAGATAGCGCATGAATGTATGGATGGTAAAGTAAGATGACCCACTGTTAGCCCACTGGGTCATCTTCAGTCCATGCATTATGCTTTTCCGGGATGATAGGTAAACATCCTTCCCATAAAAAGACAGAAAGTGGGGGAATGTAGTAGGAAGAGGGCCTGAAACATAAGCCCTTGTATCAGAGGCCTGAGCTACAGTAGCAGTAGTAAACCTTTACTGATAAAAAGCAAAATCAGGCTGTGAGCTAGAGGCAGGCCCTGCTCACAGAATCTGGCAAGAACAGGGCTGATATTGCAAAAACACATTCCTGAGAGGTACTAGGCACAGAGCATTCACACAAACACATTCCAGAAGGGTGGTACCAGAACACCCCGATACCAACACATTCCCTAAAGATAACAGGAACATGCTGACCCATCCTAAAGATAAGGTCAGGATGACAGTGTGATGGATAGAGATGTACAAGGTGATAGGTAGAAACCGGCTCTGCCAGAGGGTGTCAACTAACTACATCAGAGGGGCAGTACGTAACTTATTTGTATTGATGTATAAAATGGAGTCTCAGAGAGAGTGTCTTTGGACAGCTGAGGGGATAGTGGAAAGTCCTGCCACTAACTGAGCTGCGTCCATTGTCACGCACATACATGCACTGAGTGTACTTGTAGCAAGTATAAGGCACCAATACCATGCTTCATCGACAATAAACCTAACCAAGTTCCTTTGCTACAAACCAAGTCAGTGGTTATTAGGCACTTTGATCGGAGCCTGCTGTACAGGCTATCTGGCCAGAGTCAGTACAGCATGCAGAGAGAACACACACACAGCCAACATCTGACCACAGGAGGAACACAGTCTTAGAGGGGCAGGACAAGGATACCTGGCCAGGAATGCAAGGACAAAGACTAGCCCCTAGCTGTGGGGTGCTGCTGAACAGTCCCTGCCCAGGAACCACTGCCATGAGCTGGTTGGTGAGTGCAGTCTGTTGTCATGGCAGTGAGGGAGCGGGGCCACAACAGCGGGACTCATAAGAATAGCCATAATGGGTCAGACCAAAGGTCTACCTAGCCGAGTATCCGCTCTTCTGACAGCGGCCAATGCCAGGTGCCCCACAGGGAATGAACAGAACAGGCAATCATCAAGTGATCCATCCCCTGTCACCTATTCCCAGCTTCTGGCAAAAAGAGGCTAGGGACACCATCCCTGCCCATCCTGGCTAATAGCCATTGATTGATCTATCCTCCACGAACTTATATAGTTCTTTTTTGATCCCTAAGAGGGTTCTGAGCAATGTTACTGAGCATTGATTTTGGCATGTCAGCTGAAATCCATATTTACCAACATCTACCGATTAAAATAAAATTATGCCAAGCCTACCTATAGATTAATAATGGAGAGTACCATCTCCAGAAAAGTCTGCTGAAGATACAGAATCCAGCTACAACAACAGGAGGCCTTGTAAAGTCAAGTTTCATTTTCTGCAGTAAATTGGAGTAGTACCTGAATTCTCCATAATTCTAAGTATCTATTAATGATCAGAGATGGCCCAGATGTGTTAGATTCTCACATGGGGGCACACCTTGATAAGCTACTTTTCTCCTTCTCCCATTGATGGTTGCTGGACAGCCTCCTGAAGAAAAGAAGCACTCTGTATAGTGCCTGAAAGGATCAACTTGAGCAGGATTACAAATAGGGTCGCCAATTTTAGTTGAACATATTCCTGGAGGTTTCATCATATGACATAATCTTTAATTAAAGATTGAGCTTTAATTCCTAGAGATTCCAGAACAATCCTGGAGGGTTGGCAACCCTAACTGCAAAGCTAACTGAAGTTTAAACTACCACCAGCCAAACACATTTTGCTAGAGTATAAATTATTATTTTCCTTTATCTAAAACTGTTTATTGTGCCACTTTTTAAAAAATTATTTACAGTACACATAAAGTAAGGCCACACTCTTCTGCCCCTCCCCACCCCTCAAAAGACATACACACAGACAAAATTCCCATCAATTTTAATAAGAATTCTTCCTGAGTAATCTTAATTAAGAACTGTCAGGTATGGCATGTAATCAGGGAATCCACTTAACCGGGGTGTTTCTTTGGGAAGCAAACTAAGCCCAATGGTAGTTAATGGCAAATGTTGTCAACTGCTGCGCAATGACAATGCTGGGTGTCAGCTAAAATGCTGCCTTTGTGAATCTTGGGCATCTTCTGTTGAATAAAATGACTGCTTAATTGGTAAACCAGATTATCCCAATATGCATATTACACAATATAACAGTTACAAAGAAATTCAAAGTTGCCATCTTGAGTTTTTTGGTAACATGGGGCCAAGTTATGCTATTGTTATTTATGTATGCAGTTCCACAGAATTCAGCTAAAAGATTTGCACAAATAGAGTAAACAAGATTCGACCCTTAGTTTCCAACAAAGTCTGGAGACTTTCATGGCTGTTTTAAAGTAAAGTTATCTTACGTATATTTTGGCCATTTAACATTTTATATGTATAATACCTACACTAATATTTAATAACTTGTACAAGTTGTCTTAAAACAATAAGTCCCCAACTTTTTGCATATACTAATCTGTCCACTAGCACTTACTATGCCATTACATAGGTGTAATGATTTTACTGCTGGGAAGTAATATGGGAGGAGTCACTAACACCAACCCTCCCCTCCCAAAACCATTCATAGTTCTGGAGGTATCACACAAGTGACAGGTACTTCTAAAAATAATATTTATTAGGAGGTTAAATATAATTGAGCTACCTAGCACTGGAAGAAATTGCTGGAGTTTAACTTTAGTAATCTCTACTTTGGCTACAAATCTATCATAACCACTTAATTTATCCCTAACTAATAGAGTTAATCCTTAACTCATGTTTCTTGAGCAGGTAAGAATTGTGACAAAGGTCAAATCTTAGGTTTTATCACAAACCTAAGGAAAATTATCTTTCTATTAAGATTTAGTTCATTATTCATGTCTTAATATTCTAGGAGTTTTTACAGATTACATATAAAATGACAGTCAGATAGCTATAAGAACTAACTTTTGGGAAGAATTAACAACATTTATTTGATTAGTGAATGTGAAACTTGAAAATGGTAGATTTGAAGAAAAGACAGATTTTTAAATTTGAATTGTGGCAGACTTTAAATTGGAACCACTTTAAATAGTACCAAGTTGTCAGCGAGGGTGACAGGAGCTTTCTCTCTCTCTCTACTTACAGAACAAATACAGTACTGTCAGCAGAGAAATGCAAGCTTCTCCCACCAAATCCTGTGCCAACATGCTTCAACACTGAACTGGATAAAGCACCTTTAGGAGTAAATCTCCATGATATCTCTGCTTAACTTCTATGAAGAGTATCATTTATTGTTGGAAGTGGACTGAGACTTAACATTTTACATATAATTTGGTAACAGCTTTCACTCACTATTGATAGGGTTACCATACGTCCGGATTTTCCCGGACATGTCCGGCTTTTTGGGATTCAAATCCCCGTCCGGGGGGAAAATCCCAAAAAGCCGAACATGTCCGGGAAAATCCGGGCCGCTGGGC